GCAAAAACATAATGGTTTGACTTCAGTTTTGTGAAACTATAAATAAAAATATCTAAACAGCAGACGAGCCGAACGAGACGCAGATTCACTCTCTGCCAGCCGGTGGCGCGTAAAGCGTTTCCTTGCTTTCCGCTGTAAACAAAGCAGCGCTGCACTTATGAACTTTAATATGCATTATACAGAGGCAAGATGAAAAGAAAAAATACCATCTAAACTTTTCTAAAGACAGTAAGTTCCCCTCAGACATACATTCATATAAACTCCTACACCTAATTGAATTGCGATTTGTTTACCATCTCAACTGATTTGAATCGTCACATACTTGAATCGATTTTCAACCGGCTCGCGGTTAATCGTTACATCCCTAATAATTATAGAAGGCTTGCTTTCTTTATGTTTATTCACAACCATTTTTCATGCTGCTAAAAAGAACAATCTGAAGTTAATCATGTACTCACTGTCTTGATTTATGGTAGCTACAACCACTTCTCTCCACTCACACACAATAATAAGACCAAGACATTATTTTCTGTGGTTACAGACATGAAGTTAATGTCAAAACAAAGTACTTAAGCCTCTAAAAACAACCAGACAGTTCAGACTTGTAGGTTTACTGTAGTGAATAGTGGCAAGATATGAACCCCATAAAATTAATCAATTAATTGTTTAAAAGTAAATCCTACACCAATTTTTCTGAACCCAGATTTGACTTTGATATCCATATGTATACTTGTTTAATAATGGAATTTTGTTAATTGATTTTAATGGAAAAAAAAACTTTAGTGCAGCTTACTTATCATAATATAATTTATTTAATAATATAAATATAAATAATTTAATTATATGAATTATTTATTAATAATTTGACCTTTTAATGACATGGCAAGTTTGGTAAGGGAAGGTAAAATGTCATGGTGTGATTAAAAAATGTAATGATATTTATAAAATACATTTATGAATAATTCATAATATTTATATTTTGTTTATAATTTTTATTACTTAATTAAAATGTGTAATTTCTTTTTACTTGCTAGTTTTCTTTACTTGATACTTTTCTCAAAACCTTTTATTTTTTAAAAACCATATGGACCCAACATGGCTACCAAGACTATGTTTCTTGACACGTGTTATAGATTTTTATTTTTCTTAATCATAGACAGTCTAAATAGTCATTGACCTTTTGGAAAAACTAACAAACAAACAAACAATGATGCTGATGACTCATTTTGCAAATTAATTTTAAATTCTCTTTACAGTTGGAACCCCCTCCTCCAAATTACTAATATTGGCTATTGAAAACAACTTTTCTACCTTTTAAAAAAAAAATAGGAAATACATTGATATAGGAAA